ATATATATATATATATATATATATATATATCGTACGTGACAGTGAATATACGAGATGGAAAAGCGAGAGTTTCCTTTCCTTTTTTCGTTTCGAAAGAAACGAAAGGATAAACGAAAAAAAAAAAGGAAATGCAAGGATAGAAAAAAAATTGGAACAAAGGGAGAAGAAGGAGCGCGAGAAGAGAAGAGAAGAGTGGTGGTGAATCAAAGCGGCGGTGGTAATGAGTCAAGGGGGGGAGGGGGCGTCGTGGGGAGATGCGAGGAGAAGCGGGAGAGACAAAGACAAAGGGGGGTGTATCGGCAGGGTGAAGTTGCGCGGAATGGGAAGCGGATAGAGCAGACAGAAGGATGCGCGCAGGCGTGAAACGGACGCGGTGAACGCTCGGCATCCGCGTGGCGCGAGTTAGAAGTTGGCTTCGCGCTTTTAGTCTCGGCCCGTGTCTCTTCTCGTTCATCTTCTCGTTCACCCGTCCGTAGAACGGCCAACAAGAGGGACGGAGCCGCGCCGTGTTCCTGATTCCTCGCCTGCGAATTTTCGTCGAAGGAAGGGAAGAAGAAGAGAGAGAAAACGGATCCGCATCGCGAGCGATGAAGCGGATGGACGCTAGGATGCTCGGCGATGATGCTCGTCCACGTGTTTTCATCCTCGCCACGAAACGCGTTCTTCTTTCGTAGCATCGAAAGCCTCGAGCATCCATCGATCCCCCTTCCCCCACCGCATCGAGGGAGACGCGGCGTTCGATGGAACGGGTGAAAAATGTCCGAGAAGAGTTCAAACGAGAGAGTTCTCGAGGGGAGAAAGAGGAGCACCGCTCAACGAAGATGGCGCATCCTCGCCAAGGCGTTGATCGGCCCCCAGGAGCCGATCTCCCTCGATCCTGAGAACGAGATATCGGTGCGCCGTTTCACGAGTTTCGATCTGTTGAGAGTGAATCGGTTGGACGGGAACAGCGCGGATCCGGACTCGTCGGCGGCTTGGTACGAATACTCGACCGTTTTGGACAACAAGCTGTTCACCGTCGAGATACGGCGAAGAACGAAGAGGAATTTCACGGCAACCGAGTTGATCGGGTTCAACAATACGGGGAACATATGCGTATGGCCGTCGGAGGAGTGTTTGGCTTATTACTTGTTGAAGAATCGGCAACTGTGTCGGAACAGAAGGGTGCTCGAGCTCGGTGGCGGTATGAGCTGTTTGGCGGGGGTGCTCGCCGCAAAGTACTGCGACCCGAAGGAAATCGCGCTCACGGACGGGAACGTGACCAGCGTGAACAACGTGCGACGAATCGTGTCTAGGAACGGCATGTCCGATTTCGTCGAGTGTGGCGTGGTACAGTGGGCCAAAGCGGCCAGGGCGATCAGGGCAGCAAGATCGGTCAGGCCGTTCCTACACCCCCATCCCAACGCTCTTCGAGTCAAGGTGAATTATTCTTCTCGCGTGTTACGCGTTTCGCGCGCCCCTCTTTCACGCGATGATGCGTGAGTGCGTGCGTTCGAGCTTTTAAAGCCTTCTCGCTCGGATCACGCGCCTGCGCACTTTCGTCCATCCAGTGCGAACGATAAATTCCAGTTGATTTGCCGCCACGATTGTCCGCCACGCTAGTTTTCTATTTTCTATCGCATATATCGAACAACCGTGAATCATTCGATATGCACGCGATTTCTCTCGATACGATAATCTTTCACGATATTTATTCTCACGATGCACGACAATCACGATCATCTACTTTGCTATTCCGATCGTATTC